CCTCATAACGGACGCTCTCTCGCCGGGCGGGAGGGGCCCTTTTTCCTTTCCCGCGCCCTCCTGGCGTATGGAACCAGGTGGTCGCATCTCTGGCAGCGGTGTTCGCTGCAAACGGCATCACCACCGACACCCTTACCTACGATGGCCCCTGGCACATCCCCGCAGATGATCAGGAGCGCCTTGCGCTGCTCGCGGGCGTGGATACATACAACCTCATCGCTTCCATTGCCTTGCAGCACGCTCCCAATGCATTCCCACGCCTCACTGTTGGCGAGTAACCAACCACATCGCCCCTGTTCCAGCACGTGTTACACGACGTGCTACATCTTCTGTCGTCACAGTATCGTGCATCTCTGCAACACATCTCTGTCATGTCCTGCCATCCACTGCATTTGTGCATCAAATCCTCTCCAACATCATAAACAATGCCAGCGAAGCGGCATAAAAAGTCGTTGCACACTTGTTTTTTTTTTTTTTTTTCCCCGTCTGCCCTCTTGTGGTGTGTTCAAGCAGATGTGTGTGCGTTCTTCTTCACATGACATGTACATGACGGCGTTCTGGTGCACAAGACGCAACCACCGAGTGTCATTCATTCGTCAAGCAGCAATGACAAGTAACTCAAGAACACTTCAAGTCAGCGAGGTTTCGCAAGTGAGCGCATGCGTTGGCGGAGCGCAACGTTCTCCTGCTTCAGGCGCACCAGCTCTGAGCTCTGCGAGCAAGGCATTGACACAAACCAATACAACAACAACCATGGGTGCGTGAGAGAAAATAGCTTGTGGTGTGGTGATAGTGGGTGGTCACACAAGGCCACTGCAGGTGGGAAAGTGATGCCTTGGCATACCCCACAAAGCCACAAAGGAGATCGAAAAAACCATGCTGATCGACAGGCACACCTGCTTATGCATACACAGCTAGCAGCTCACCCTAGCAGCTGAACACAAACCCACACGCCCACACGCCCACACGCACGCACACGCCCACACACGCACACGCACACACACACACACACACACACACACACACACACACACACACACACACACACACACGCCAGCGTTGAGGGTCGCACCAGATCTTCAAGCGCCTGTTGCAGGTGGCATTTTTCCTTGACGACCTCCTTTAAGCAGTCTTCCAAGTACGACACGGAGCTGTCATCTCGCTGCTCCGTGCAACTCGATGGATTGCGGGACTTGTCGGGAGCAACATCACACGTCTCCGCCTCGGGTCGGCGTACACCGGCTTGTATCCGAGTCGCACCAGTGCTTGCGTCCTGTGCCACGTCCACGCACAGCCCTGAGCACCCGACCTGCAGCATCTCCACAACTAACACACGGTTGTGCGTGCGTGGGAGTTTGGGGGGGGGGGGAGGGCGTGACTCAAAGCGACCATGCGGAAGGCCCACACGAGTGCAAGTAAGGGGCAGTTAGCAGCAAGGAATACGCACGCACTTATGAAACACAAGTACACATTTTCACGCACCCATGCATCCTGCAACAGACACAACAAAGCCACACAAAGCCACAAAAGGCAACCAACCAACCAACAAAACAACTAACCAAGCAAGCAAGCAAGCAAGCAACCAAACAAACAATCAATCAAACAAACAAAAACACACATACGTTGGCTTGGGGCAGTGACACGCGTAAGAGAGTCCAGTAACGTGCTGTGTTCCGTCGAATCAACCAGATTCACTCTGACATTCTCCAGCTGGTGCACATGTATGTATGCATGCGTGCAGTGTGTGTTTGTGCAATGTGAGGGTGGGTCAAAGGGTGACAGCAAACATACAGCAAACACATGTTCATGCAGGGGTGGCCTCCCACATTAGTCAGCCACATGCATACATTCGCTTGCGCCAGCACGTGCACCAGTAGCGCGCACCTCGAACCGACGCGACGCCGCCGGCAGCGCCTCCTGAAAGTCGTCCGCGTATCGCCCCAGCAGTTGGCCGTGATCAGATGCCATGTCAATGCTCAAGTTCGACACAAAAAAGTGCTGGCTGCTGGAGCCCAGTGGAGGTAGCGGCTGCTCTTGTTGATGAAAATGCATCGCCTGCGAACCAGAGCTACGCTCAAGCATTTCTGCACCACTACTCGCCACATCTTCCAATCGGTTCTGCACCTGCATCACCTCCAACTGCGCCTGCCGAGCGTCCATGGATCCATTGCTCATACGCGCCCAGCTGTTCCGCAGCGGTGTGGTTTCGTCATGACGAGCCGCAGAACTAAGACCACGGGCCTCACCCCCATCTCTGCCCACCTCTGGCGTCAGGGCAGCTGTCTCCTGCTCTTCTCCCGGTCCGTTCACCAGCACAGCTGCCAATGACTGCTGCTGCTGCTGCTGTTGTTGTTGTGTGGATTGCACGGCCACGTGCTTTGTTGCCTGCCGTGGTGTCGTTGCACAATGAGGATCACTTGTTCTCACGCCCTGTTGTCGCTCGTGCAGCTCCTCGGCGTCATCCTCCTCAACAAAGTCGCGCTCCACAGTCGTCGGCTGCTTCCTTGCCGCCATGCTGTCGCTCCTGCTGCGACGCATTGTGTCATCTCGATCGTCAGCCGCCTCACTGACAGCAGCGCGCAGCGCATGCATCATGGCCTGTCGTTGGTCCCAGGCCGCAAAGAACGCGTCCGCCTCCTGCGGCGTGGGCAGCGTATCGACAAAACGAAACCACACTTGTGGCTTGCCCGGTTTGCCTTTTTCTCGTCCATCATCGCAAGCATCACCAGTGTTGCTCTTCGTGTGCTGGGGTTGTGGCAAATGCGACATGTGTGCGCACACACGCTGCACAGATCCAACAAGGCAGGCTGCCCGTGAAAACGTGTGCCGTGCCAGCTCTGTGCCCACAACGGTTGCGTGGCACAAATGCAGCGGCTGCCGTGGACCAGCATCTGCCGCAAGCAGCCCGCCAACATGCAGCTGCAAGTGCATCTCTGGCGGAGCGCGCACGCGAAGGTCAACATCAATGGTTGGTACTTGCACGGCCGCACACGAAATCCGCGGCGCTGGCAGTCCGCTGTCAAAAAACTGCGACACCAACCAGCGCATGTGCATCACAGGGCATGGGCGTGTCACGTGAACGACTGATCCTTCTGCTGCAGCTGCGTTGAAGCAAGTTCAAGCCGTGTACAGTGTCTGCCACGCGGCGTTAAAGCTACACAACACAGGGCGCGCATTGCCACCAATGCTGTCCACACTTACGCTGGAATGGCGCTGGAATTCCTCAAGAAGCCGGGTCATAAATAACATCTACAGACATGGTCACAAGCGGTGGGCACAGAGGCGAAGGATCACATCGTGTCTGTTTCGCGATACAGCGCATTTCTGACCGTGGGCATCACACACACACACACACACATAGACACACAGACGCAGACACACACACAGACACACGGAGCTCTTGCCTCCCACAGGCGCTGAAGTGTGTGTGCTTCACTTTGATGCATGTATGGTTGTAAGTACTGCTCACCTCTTCGTCATCCAAGCACGCGCCCACCCGCTCTGGCACGCTGATGAGTGCAAATGCCGCCGTATCGTCGGCACTTGGTGCTCCTTTGCCGCCCTGCCCTGTCGTTTGCGGTTCTGTTTCCTGGCTGCCACCGTTGTGCGCGGGCGCGGGTGCATCTGGCAGCGCGACGAGTGCAGCAGCGACGTGCGGCGCCTCCACCACTGTCGACAGCAAGGGCCCGTCCGGGTGTCCAAACGACCGCAGCGTGACGGCACGCACGGACACAAATGTGGCGCGCGATGTCCTCATCAGCTGTGGCGGTGGCAGCACGGAATACACGTCCGTCGGCTGCCAGGGGCCAGCGGAGCCACTGCATCCACTGCTGCGCTCATCATGGCTGGCACTCGAGGCATGAGTGTGTCGTGGTGCGGCGTTGAAGAACGGGCTCAAAAACATGCTCCGAAAGCTGGCCGGCCCAATGTTCTGAAGAATGAGAGGACAGGTGGAGGGAGACACGCGTGGATGAATGTGTGTGTGTGTGTGTGTGTGTTGGGAGAGGGAACGCGCACAATGTATGCGTGTGTGTATGCGGGTGTATGCATGTGTATGTGTGTGTACGTGTGAGAAAAGCACAAAACAAAACGAAACAAGTGGGTTGCTAGTGGGGAAAGTTTGCACAAGCGCCGTCTCCACGCAGCGTCTAGCACCACACCAGAAGCGTCACCTCTGTCCAGTGTGAGGTATTTGAAAAGGCGAGCGCGTCAGCACGCAGCAGCCACGTGCGGTGGCGAATGTGCGCTGGGCCGCTCGCCAGCGGCGGAATCTCGATTGCCGGCGCCATGAGATCCCCTCGAAACTTCAGCAGCGGACCAGAAAACTGCTGCTGCTGCTGTTCGTGCCGTGCGCACGCGCGGATTCGGACGCATGCGTCAACAGCAGATGCAGTGTGAGGAGCAGTGTTTGGTTTTGTTTGTTTGTTTGTTTGTTTGTTTGTTTGTTTGTTTGTTTGTTTGTTTGTTTGTTTGTTTGTTTGTTTGTTTGTTTGTTTGTTTGTTTGTTTGTGTGTGAAGGGAAGCCTTGCGGCTGTCATTGATGGTCATGCGCGTTGTGCGGCTGAGTTTGTTGGTGTGTGTTGTTGAAGCGAGAGTGGGTTCAAGCATAGGAGCATGTTCAACCATGTCACACCTGCGTTTGCTCCACGGGGTTATCGCTGCTCTTGTGAAGCTGCCCGGACATGTGTACACGAATGGCTTTCGCTCGGCGCGTGCATGCCGCGCGCAGCTGAACAATCTCCAGCTTGTCCAGATCCGAAGCGGCCTGCGAGCACGCAACAGCGTCAAAAGCCAGCCAACAACAACACGGAAAGAAGATGAAGACAAGCGAGGTGGTGGTTGGTCGGGACAAAAGCAGCGCAGGGGAGCACGCACAAACAAGCAAACAGCAACACCTGCGCGAAACAGCACACAGGTGGCACGCGAGCCGCCAGCAAATGCGGGCATGCTTGGGTGTTAGCCACGTGATGAGGCATGTTGTATGCAGCACGTACCGAAATGTGGCTGCTAACTTTGGCAAGTTCCTGCTCGCTCGTTGCAGCCTCAATGTCCTCCAATATTGCCTGATGGGCAAAAAAGCAACGTGACAAAGGGCATCATGAGCGGATGCGAGGTGGGGGAAAAATGGCTTGCTTGTGTCGGGAATGTCACCCATATTGTGGCAGCGTACGGGATTGTTTGTCTGCGTGCTCGTTGATCGTCTGCCCGTCTTGGCCGCCCAGACAGACAGGCAGACAGGCAGACAGACAGACAGACACACACACACATCGGAGACACAGACACAAGAGACAGACAGACAGACAGACAGACACACACACACACACACACACACACACACACACACAACACACACACAACACACACACACACACACACACACACACACACACATCCACACACGAGCTTACGGCGGCGGCTAAACCGAAGAAGCCGTTGAGGCCACGGAGAATGGTGTGCTGTGCAAAGTGCGCGATGTGCATGATGGCAGCGAGGTTTACTTGGACCTGCACATGCACACACAGGGCGAGTCAAAGTAGCACGGCGGCAGACGTCAGCGAATTAGCAGTCATATGGGCCCACATACTTGCATGAGTGCCAGCAGAGACCCAAGCAAGCAGGTAGGCCACAGTGTTTAGCCATCAACAGGCTGACAAGTCGTCCTGCACACACAGACACAGAGACACAACACACACCTTGATTGGGGATAGGCGGGCAAACAGAACGGGTGGTGGCGGTGCTGGCGATGAGCTGGCACCAATGGGCACATCATACGCCTGATGCTCAAGCAGAAGAAGGTAAGACGGTACATTCTTCTCGTCGTAGCGTGGCTGCATTAGAATCGTGGTTTCCTGTTCATCATCGGCGTCAGCAGCAGGGCCACGGCCACCACGCGCTGCGTTATTGTCTCCGCCGTTACGGCGGATCGGATGGCCGGCATCCGAGATGACGGACAGGGCGCGCAGGGCCACGCGTGTCATGCTGATGTGCAGCTGCCGCTCGCCCATGACGTCTGATGTGTATCCAAGGTTTCGCAGCCACGTGTCGCGCCGTGCGTTGAACGCGTGGTCAAATGGTTCTTTAGCAGGACCAACCTTGTCGGAGCCACGCCAGCGCAGCCCAGAGATGTGGCGCAGCTCCAGCTCCTGCGCAATCAGCGTGACCAGCGTGCGCCCTCGCGCTCTGTCCTTGCCTGCAGGCAACGGACGGGAAGCTAACGCGGGGGCGGGTTGGAGGATGGAGATGTGGATGTGCTGGATAGCCAGCGTGTACAAAGGGTGTAGTGTGTGACGCAGCTGCTGCCGCTGTTGTTGCTGCGACTGTGCCTGTGGTGGTGTTGCTGCTACCGTTGCACCTGTGGAGGAGTGGGTTGAGGCGACAGAGGATGTGCGGCGGCGGCTTGTCACAGGCGAATGCTTCATGGTTGACGCGCGGGGCCGACCCGCAGCAGGTGGTGGCTGTGGTTGTGTCGATGCTGCTGGTGATGGCATTGCCGATAGCGCGGATTCCCTCCCTGCAGCAGCTGTTGCTGGATTGTAACGGCTATACGCGTCGGCCAGCTGTGTTATACTATGCAGTACAACTTGCAGCGTCTGCAGGCGTGGGTGTGTACAGGTGTGTACATGCGTGAGCCAGTGTTTGGTTTGCACTGTTGCAGTTGGGCGTCGTTAAATAAGTTACACTACATTTTGCCCGGCCAAACACACCACACACACACACACACACACACACACACACACACACACGACACACACACACACACACACACACACACACACACACACACACACACACACACACACACACACACGCACGCACAGTCACACACACACACATATTCGACCTGGAGTTCTTCTCGGCTAAGTTCGAGTTTGATGACGCCGGGCATGATGTTGACTTGCACACCGAGGACGACGGTGTTGTCGAGCAGCGACCGCCGCCGTGAGATGCGAATCTCCGACTCCTGGAGCACCACCCCAACTTCAGTGTGCCGTGATGCCTAAGAAAGGGCCAGAGTGACATGAAGGAAGAGAGTGCATGTGATATGGCCGTGAGATTGTGGCAGATCCAGTGTTGCAGTTGTGGTTGTCCTCCACACCCACACACTCGCACGCGCGCGCGCACACACACACACACACACACACACACACACACACACGTGCGCGCACATACACATACACATACACATACACAGATACAGATGCAGATGCAGGCACAAACAAACATACAGACTCACAGACACACCTCTGGCAGTTTGAGGGAGCTGGATGTGAGGGAGACGGACACGGTGCCGAGAACGAGCTTCTTGAAGAGGGTGACATACTGCTTGGTCGGGTCAATGTCTTGGGCATGACGAAGGTCTGTGACAGGCTCCCAGTTGCGGTTCACGCTCTCGGCTTGAAGGCCTTGCAGAAGGCACTTTGCAGAAAAGTCTGGTGTGTGCACGTGTACCTCGACGAGGTTGACGTTCACCGTGACGCCATCAACGACAGTGTCACCGACGCCGTACTTCTCAGGCTTCCCATGGTGAGCGCTTGTGGCTTCTGCGCTGGCATGTGGATCGTGCGGGCCTCCAGCATGCTGGCCGTCCCCTGATGTGGGCTGGTAGTGCCGTGCATGATCTTCCGGGTCAACCGCCTCAATGATGATGTTGATGCGGTCAATGTCGATGGTCATGGGATGCGTCTTGAGCCGTGTGATCGAGAGCTTGCAGTCTGCACGATTGCATGAAGCCTTGGTGACATATAACCATGGAGGCAGCAGCAACGCCGAGCGCAGGAAGCCTTCTTGCAGCTCCAGGTCGTGTAGCACAGCTGTTCCTTTCAGCACGGACAAGGCCAGCTTGTCGGCCGTCATGTCCTTGAAGTAACTTGCCAGCTTCTTGGCAATCTGGTGCTTCACGTAGGACGTCATCTTTCAATAAATGGTCGCCGTGTGCAGGAGCGTGGTTGAACGTGTGTGTGTGTGTTAGTCAAAACATGCGTTGCTGCGCTGTGTTGTTATGTATGATGTCACTGCCGTAGGCTGGGTGTCTTCTCCGTGCACACTGCTGCTGTTGATGATGCAGTTGCTCTGCTGCTTTCTGTTGTTGTTCCGAGAAACGGTATGGGGTGGCATATTAATAGGACATCACTATCTCAACGCAGACAGGAAGGTCGGCAGTGAATGAACATCCGACGCACCAAACCACGCACGGCAGTACGCGGTGAAGAAGCAAGGCAAGCAAGCCATGGCTGGGCGCATGTGCGAGGCGCTGTACGACCTGCAGGCACAGGCAGCGAACCAGCTGTCCTTTGTCAAAGGCGACAAGATGGAAATTCATTCCTCCGTGGATGCAAACTGGTGAGAATGCGCTTGTGTGCTTGTGCTTGTGTGTGCTTGTGTGTGCTTGTGTGTGCTTGTGTGTGTGTGTGTGTGTGTGTGTGTGTGTGTGTGTGTGTGTGTGCTTGTGTGTGCTTGTGTGTGTGTGCTCTTTTTGTGTGTGTAAGATGTGCGCACGCTTGACTTTATGCAACATACCATCCACCGTCGCCACCGCCGATGCCCCCTCCCCCCCCCCCCCAATGATTCAACAAGGTACCATGGCCGGCTGTTGCGCACGGGACAAGTCGGGCTGTTTCCAGTGACCTATGTGAAGGTGATGGATCAAGGTCAGGCACCCGCGCAGCCCGGTCAGACTCAGCCAGCCTATCAGACACCGCAATTCCCCCAGCAAGTCCAGACATCACAGCCACAAATGCAACAACCACAGCAGCTTCAACAGCAGCAGCAACAACACCTGTTTCAACAGCAACAGCAGCAGCAACAACAACAGCAACAGCTGCTGCAACAACAACAACAACAACAACAACAACAGCAGCAGCAACAGCAGCAACAGGTGCTGCAACAACAACAGCAACAACTCCAGCAGCAGCTTCAACAGCAGCAGCCAACCACATCGTCCACCATCCAGTCAGCTGCCAAACCTGCTCTGTTAGACACGCCACCGACGCCGTTGATGGGCTCTACAGCGTTCATCGGCACTGCGCCAGCGGTGCAGCCCCAACACCACCAGCAGCTGCTCGAAACTGCAGACCTTGGCGTGAGTCAACTTGTTTGCCTCGGGAAGTGTGCTTTTTTTTTGCTGGTTGTGCCTGGCTTGATTGGAGAGAAGGGTGTGGTGCTGGTCCCTTGACCATTGCCGTCATCGTACCAACCAATATTGATGGTACCGCAACTTACAGTATGTCCTCTTCTCCTACTGTTTGTGTTGTCTATTTGTAGGAGCCGGTCCCAAAGAGGGCCAAGCTGAAAGTCGACGATGTGCAGGGCGCCGTTGTTCCGGAAGTGCCTGAGCTCGACAAGATGTATGTGCACCGAACCGCATGTTGTGGGCTCAGGCAGAGCTCATATTTTAACACACACTGACACACACACACGTACACAGAGTTGGTTGTCTCAGCGGTCCTACATTGTATTGATGACTCAAGCTCAGCAATGTTGTCGCCACGCGCGCGCGCGTGTGTGTCTGAACGTGGTTTCCACTCTTCAGGTTTGACCCGGCTCGTCCGTCCACGCCACCACCGCTGCCGTCCATTGCCTTCCCCAGCAACTGGGAGCCTCATATCGATGCTGGGGGTGAGTGTGACGCGTGTACAGTGGATACTGCTTGAGTTAACGGTGGCTTTGTTTCTTCTTTTGTCATATGGGGTACAATGAAAACGTGTGCGTTGAAAAGCGGCGCTTACCTTCTTCACACGAGAATTCGGTTCTGCCACTGCTTGTGACACTCCATCACCGCATGCACGTGTTCAGGTGTGGACTGTTTCCAACACAAGGGCGCAGAGGTACGGGCGATGTGGCGCGCGTGTGGCGCGCGGGTGGTTTCATCAGTTTGGGTCCTTGTTGACTGTGCTGTGTTCTTCTCTGCTCTCCCCTGCGCGTCAGTTCGTTCTACCCAACAAATCCCCCGCACCTGCCTGCCCAACCTGTGCCCCTACTACTCACCGCCACCATCATCGCCACCACCACCAGAATGCGGTGCTGTACGAGCGACCGGATGCGCCGTTGACGCGCGTGTTTGTGTTTGATCTGGATGAAACGCTCATCATCTTCCGCGACCTCATCACCGCCAAGTTTGCCACCGCTCACAGCAAGGTGCCTGTTGCAACTGCCCGCTTGTTGTTGTTGTTGTTGTTGTTGTTGTTGTTGTTGTTGTTGTTGTTGTTGTTGTTGTTGTTGTTGTTGTTGTTGTTGTTGTTGTTGTTGTTGTTGTTGTTGTTGTTGTTGTTGTTGTTGTGTGTGTGTGTGTGTGTTTAAAGCATGGTGTGGTCGCTTTGCACCCTCCGATGCGTGCTGTAGAAACGAGGTGTCACGCGTCATGGTGGTTACTGTGACACTTGGACACTAACATTAGGTTCGCTCATACACTGATATGCTGGTGTGTTGACTGTGTGCACAGGATTCAGAGCAAGGGCGGCAGCTCGGCAAGACGCTGCAATCGCTCATCTTTCACATGTGCGACCACCACCTGCTGTTCGACAAGCTCAAGGTCCGTCATGACATCTGAGCACAAAATAGCCAACAGCACCGGAGCCAACACGTTCCTTGTAGAGTGCACTTCTCGCGTCTCCAGGGCTGTGGTTTGTAAGACGTACGGTGACGCGCGGCTGCGTTTTTGCTTTACTGGCTTGTGCATGCGTTGTTAGGAGGTTGAGTTGACGACGCTCAAGGAACTGTCGCCCCACGACAACAACACCCCACTTGACTCGAGCTTGTGAGGATGTGTGCATGGGTACAATGTGTGCACGTGTGTGTGTGTGTGTGTTGCGTGCGGTGGGAACTCGCGCTCATGGTGGCGATGATGTGATTCATGGTGATGACGATGATGATGGTGATGAT